GGGGGAGGGGTGGGGATGGGGAGTGGGGGGAGGAGGGGAAGGGAGGGTGAGGGGTGGGTGGGTGGGCGGGGTGGGTGGGTGGGTTGACCAGGCAGGCATTCACTGGGGGATTGCTGGTGTGGGATACTGAATGTTTGGGATGGACTTTCTTCCTTGTGGAGCATCGTGGCATGTTGTGTGTTGATTGGAGGATGTACAGGCTGGTATGCAAAAAAACAATCCAGTCTAAGTGACCAGTCTTATCTGAACCAATCCTTGGTCTCCCTTTAGCCCGCATATTTCCCTTTAACTCGCCTGTTTCCCCCACCTACACACACTCCCCCGTACCCATTTCATCCTGTCTCCCCTCCGGCATCCATCGAACCTCAACACCCATTTCACAGTCTTTCCTGGCAACCCTGTCTTTCCTGTTGAATGCTTCCACCAATTCACTCCTCCCCAGTACCCGCCCGTGCTCCCATACATGCAAAGCCATCCCATCCCTAGCTGTAGAGTCTCCCAAACTTCGCCCGAAACACGTCCCCTCCTGCCCCCCTCCCAGTCGCTCTCAGCTCCAACCCATGTCACCCACTCCCCCTCTCAATCCCCGCTCTCCTTCCCTCCTCATCCCTGTCGTTTCCCCCTCCCGTCCTCCCCCTGTTGTTCCACCCCGTCATGCCCCGGTCCCTCCTTGCTGTGCCCGTCCCTCCCCGCTGTGGTTCCATCTCCCCATTCCCCCCCACCCCACCTGCACCCCCCCGCAGGACAAGAACGTGGTGACGATCTTCAGTGCGCCCAACTACTGCTACCGCTGTGGCAACATGGCGGCCATCATGGAGGTGGACGAGGCCATGGACCGCTCCTTCCTGCAGTTCGAACCCGCGCCCCGCCAGGGCGAACCCGACGTTGCCCGCAAGACCCCCGACTACTTCCTTTAATCTGCTCTATTTTTTCTTTTGTTTTAAGGGGCTTGGGGGGGGAGGGAGGAGTATGGTTGGTGAGAGGGGAGGCGGGGTTTGGGAGGGGGATAATGGGGTGTGGTGTGGAAGGAGGGGAAGGTGAGGGGGAGAATGAGCAGGGTTGAAAGAGGAAGAGGTGGTTCTGTTTCAGGTGGTACGGTATGTGTGGTAGTTGGGTCATTCTCCTAAATGGTTGATTGGATGAACGCCACACGCCAAGTTTCAGCATAGGAGCCTCCATTATTCTCTCAGTCTGCCCTCCTAGTTATTGTTTGTACTGATGTGTGTGCGCATAGAGACATGCCACTTCTAAAACAAATAACCCAAGTGCTACTGCGGAGTGTGAAAGTGATGCCTAGGGGCAAACTACACTAGCAAGATGAAGAAAGATACCTTACAATTAGTTCTGGAGAGAACGCATGAACTGCAAATGGAAGCATACACACCCAGCACACCATACGGTAGGTCCTTGTTCAAAATTAACCCAGCACACACCATAGGTGGTTGTTGTTCAAACCTAACCCAGCACACCCCATGCGCACACACACACACACACACACACACACACACACACACACACACACACACACACACACACACACACACACACACACACACACACACACATACACACACACACACATACACACATACACACACACACACACACACACACACACACACACACACACACACACACACACACACACACACACACACACACACACACACACACACACACACACACACACACACACACGCACGCACGTACGCACGCACGCACCGCGCACATGCTCGTGAACCATGGGGTGAATTACTATGGGTAAGATAGTGATCCACCATGGCTGGACTAGCGCAGGCAGCCTGGGGAGCCTTGTATCATGCTTTCACTGCTCTCAGCTGTGCTCCCCTTGCTGCACACATCGTCTCAGTTCCACATTGAAATTGTCTTGAATCAGGTACCTTGTCCCATTCAACCCCTGCAGATTCCAGTGCCGCCCATTTCCGTCCCTGTTCACCCCAGAGTATCTCCACTCGCATAGATCCGCATTTTCGATTTGCTGCAAGCTGGTTTCGTCTGTACCCTCCCCCCCCACCACCCACCCTGCCCTCTCGTCTTCCCCTTGAAACGGATTCGTTACAAGCTCCGTCAGCTCGTGTGCCAGTTTGTCCACAACCGAATCCGCAGCCAAGTCCCTGTTGCTTCCCGTGTAACCCTCGTCAAAGTACCTATAAGTACAGTTCTGTGGACACTGCTTCGTCGAATCGCCTACAAACGCGTACGCGAGCTTGGGACCGCCGTCCACTATTGTCGCGCTCGTGTGATACGCGCAGAAACCCCTACAGAACTCAGTTAAGTGAACGTCCCCGCTCGTTAAAATCACATACGCCGCGCTCGGATCTTGCGGTAAGTGCTCGCTGCGACCCTCGTCCATTGCCTGTCGCAGGATCTGTCGCACATCATCATGCGACAAGGGGCTCATTACCGACCCTAGTGGCGACAGCGAGTAACTGTCCGTAATTTCGCCCGCCAGTCGCACCCGAGCAGCGGCCCTTCGTCCGGCGAAGTCAGCATAGTACTGCGTGGTAATGTCCCACCATCCCGCAACTGTCGCCGGCTCGACATTCCCATTCGGCGCTGGCAATTCCTCACTATTTTCCGTCCCCTTCACCCCACCACTCCCTCCACCGCTTCCGATGTTGCTGTTGCTTCCAGAGCTGTAGCCACCATTGCGGCTACCGTTAACCTTACTGTTACCGCTGCTGCTAGTGTTGCTTGTTCCGCGATTATCCCCGCTGATTCTGCTACCAGCGGCCGCATACATGGCCTCCGTGCTCGTACCGCTGATGGGGTCTTGACTGTCATCCCCGTTTGTACTGTTGCTTTTACTGTTGCTGCCATTGTCACCACTCCGTTTGTCGTTCCCGCTGTCGCTGCGATTGCTGCGATCGATGCCGCTGCTGCTGCTATCGCGGCTGACGGCTCCGCCTCCGTCGTGCGCTTCAAGCGACGCCATAAAGTTTCGCACGATGTTCATCTGCTCGTGCGACCAGTCGCCGTACCACACAAGGTACACGTTCAGCACGTCGGGCTCTACCATCATTCGTCCTCCCCAGTAACGCAACATCCGCCCCAGCTTCCCCGCGTCCTGCGCCGCTAAACTCGCTTCCGCGTCACTCTCCTCTTCAGCCGCATTCGAAATCTCTCCCTTCGCCGCCTCTTGCGGAGATTCTGAAATTTGAACGCGGGTGGATGCCGGGTCGCCGGTTGGTGCATGAACGGATGCGATGGCATCGCGGCCTGGATCTCTTGTGACGGAAGCTAAGGCAGCGTGCGCTAAGCGTGCTCTCTGATTTGTGGCGGTGGCACTATAACGGATGGCCTCGTCTGATGGAATGGTATCACTTTCAGCGAACCAACCGCTGTTGTCACGCTTGATGGTATCACGGCTGAGGGAAGAGGAGTGCGCCTTGGCCTTGCGGTGATGCCGTCGGTAGCGTTGCTGCTTCTGCTGCTGCTGCTGCTGCTGCTGGCTTCGTCGTTGACTAAACTCGGCTCCGGGCAGTGCGGCGCAGAATTGGAGGGAGAGGAGAAGTAGGAGAAGCACCAGGGAGCGTACTCTGGTCATAGTTGCTAGGGGAAACGCGAACAACTGAATCCGCGGACGAAAGGTGAGGCTAGCCCATTAGTCAGTCCTTCGTTCGGCAAGCGAGGAAGATAGCGGGACGAGAGGATCCAGTTTCATCCAAATTCTGCGGAAAGCTCTGTTTTGCCTTCAAACGCCCCTTCTTCTGACCTCTCTCTTGGGCTTGTGGAGTGGACAAATGTGAATGGAGACTCTGCGTGTTCTGTTCTGAGCAAGCCGAGCCGCCTGTCGACATTGTGCGATTTGCTGGACATGCGGCTCGTGAAGCGAATCGTTCGAAAGGGTGTCAGCCAACTGTACTCGCAATAGACAAGGCAGTTGTCTCGTTTCGGTTTTGGAAGCCCTCACTCAGAAACATTTTGCTTTCCCATAGGCTATATTCTAATCGTCAATCGCCCTCGGGTGGTCTATAACTTGGACAACAAAAACATGAATACGAAAATATGTACGGACCACTGATTCAACCACAACTTCCAGACTTTAAGCCAGCAATGCGAGCGAGCTCCCCATCAAAGTCTTGCAATATAGATGTGTCTAGCTCCTTGTCAATACGCTCCGCCATCCTATTGACCTCTAGGCCAAGGCAATCCTCCTTGATAACCATAAGCTCTGCCAGCACTCGGCTCATGGAGGGCCGTGAAGCCGTCGGCATTGAAGTGCAGCTGAGGGCAAGGCGAGCCAGTCGCAGGATAATGGCATCCGATGCTTCTAAGTCTGGGTCCTTGAAGGCTGCCACGTTATTGGATGCAACGAGTGGAGCCACCCACGCCTTGAGGTTGACCTGGTCTGACTCCAAGTTGCATATGGCCTTGCGTGCCGTGAGCACAGTCAGCATCACCACTCCAAAGCTGCGGAGTACAAGTAGCATCAAATGAGCTAAGGTTGTGGCTCGTTGTTTGCCATGCCGATGCACGACAGTAACCAAGGGATTCCTCAAGATGCACTTTGAATGACACCATTCATACCTGTGCACATCAGCCATGGGAGTGGCCTTCTGTGACTTGTAATAGGCAGGGTCCACATAACCAGGTGTTCCCATCACTCGAGTAGCAGCCACAGATGTACCCTCCCCATGCCTAACCAACCCAAAGTCAGCCACTTTGGCCTGCAATTCACATGTGAAGAAATTAGAAGGAAAAAATAAAACTGCCAAAGAGCTTAACTTAGCTTGTGCATTATTCTGATTGGTTTTGCATGTACGCCCGAATCAAATACCTTCATTTTATCATCGAGAAGGATATTGGCAGGCTTGATGTCGCGATGCACCACCCCAAACTCATGCAGATACTCGAGGCCACGAGCCGTGCCTATGAGAATATCCAGCCGCTGCCGGATCGTGAGAGTCTGCTTTGCAGCTGCAGGGATGGAACCAGGCATGGATGAATTATCACAGTGAGGTCTCAGGCTAAGGTGTTCACCAGTGCAAAACTGCGATGAAGGAAGAGAGAGAAGAGTATAGGCCTATTTGTAGAGGAGAGAAATTACAAGGGCCGATCCAGTGCTCGAGGTCGCCATGGGGCATGAACTCGTAGATGACGATCTGCTCCATCCTCTCCGTCACAGGGCTGAAGTCCAGACAGTACCCCACCAGCCTCACCAGGTTCGGATGGTTCTTCGTCGCCATCTCCTTCACCTGCCACAACTCCTCAAACAGCAAGTCAGGCAGGAAAACCACCAAATGGAAAACAGCATAAGTACGCCACACTACCTTCCCCCATTCCTCTCTCCTTCCGGCACCCAGCCCACCTCGCGTTTGAAGTCGTTGGTGAGAACCTTGGCGCGCTTGACAGCCCAGATAAGGGACGGGTTGTGGGGGCACTCGCCCTTGTACACGTCCCCGAAGCTGCCTCCCCCTATGCGCCTGCTCTCCGCCCACTCACCCGTCGCCTGCACCACCTCCGCCAGTGAGTACTGCGCACACACCTGCGCCTGGCCGCTGCCCCCTACTTCCATTGCGTCTTTTCCCCTAGCAGTAGCACCTGCGGCTGCTGACACTACCGCTGCTGCAGCAGGTCGGGAGACAGGCTGATTGGGTCGAGATTGTACGCCTGTGGATTTTGAGCGGGGGGCTGGGTCTTGATACGTTGATGCTGAGACAACGTGAGATGTACTTTTCCTTGCCCTTGATGCCCCTACGGAGGGAGGGTGGACCAGCACAGGGCATGGTGCATGGCGGAGCAGGTACTGGGACACACTCCCCATCATTGCTTTCTGGAAGGCGAGTACAGGCGGAGGGGATGGAAGGAAAAGAAGAGCAGGATGTGAGTCTTGGTTTGGATGCTGTGCTAGCAACAGACCTTGATTTCTTGTCGCCTCCATCCCCCATTGCCGGTTCTGTGTTGACCTTAAACACAAACCCCTTGCCTCTCATCATGAGTTCCGTGCGCGAGGGATAAAGAGAGAGGGTAGGAAGAGAGTGCATGTAAAATGTGAGAGATGGGATGAGAAGGAATGAAGAAGATCAATTTCAGTGAGTGCTCGTTTAGTCCAGATGGTACATTTGAGTCTTAGTGGCATGACGGAGTGGCAAGTTCAGTGTCAAGCATTAACCTCGTCTACTAATGAAATGAAATGGCGAGAATATTGCACTTTTACCAGCCAGAAGCAGCAGCACTGTACAGAAAGTTGTATGCGATTCACGTCTTCAGTCCGCATATCTCCAGCATGCATCTCTCTTACCTCGTGGCCGCACATTCACCCCCGCACACCCACCCACGCACACACATCTTACTGCGTCGTAGGAGCTGAGCAAGCGTGGTTGTCTCACCGTAAGAGCGGTCTTGCCCTGGCTTCCGACGATGATGAAGTCCACAAAGTCCTCAGCGGCGCGGTCGCACAGCACGTCTCGCGGATCTCCCTCGCCCAGCATCGCCTCCACCTGGATGCCCGGGTGAGCCGACTTCACCTCCGCCAACGCCTCGTCCAAGAGCCTCTGCGCGCCGGATGCGATGGTCGTCTCTGATCGTTGCAGCTTGGCGCTGGAAGCTGCACGGGGTTACGAGGGGGAGGGGAGCATGCGAATCATTCGATGGTGGATTGTGTGAAAATAGCACACCTAACCATGTTGTCGATCAATGATGTTATGTAACACCTGCAATTTTCGTGCAAATTCGCCTCCAGAAAGCCAGGATGGGATTCATGGCATGAAAAAACCACGCGGGACTTATCTACAAAGCAAAAGGAATTTCAGCGAAAATTACCGTCAAACTTGGGCCGGACGAACATGATGATGACGTAGTCAGTTTTCGCATCAAATACATTTGTTATTGAATAGCTCAATGCCTTCTTGCTTGCCTCGCTACCGTCAACTGCGATCATGATCACGCGCATCCATGTCGGACGACTCGTCTCCGTTGCCATCTCGGAAAAGTGGTGGGGATGGATGCCTCGGTGATGTGAACACTGGGTTAACGATGACGCCACGCGTTTGACAAATATCATACTCATTCTCTATAAATCCGCTTATGATTCTGCTTCCAAGTGTTTACAGCGCAATTGCACTAGGTGGACTAGGAAGAACAGGCACGTTGTATACTGGTTCACGCTATGGAGATGCAGTCAGAAAGGCAATAATAAGCATCAGGTCGCCAGGGTTCGTAATTGGGAGGAGGTTGGAAGGAAGTTGAAAGAGTAATCTCATCTGGTGGGATAGCGCATTTCAATCGCTATCATGGGCGCAAATGTGGCGGGCAGGACGGGAGACGGGTGGGTGGGGCACCAGGGGGTGGTGGTTCCTAGTAGGTTATAGCTCATTCCTCGTGGCACTGGACGGTTTCACACGGTGGAATACCATTGGTTGAGAAGTTACCGTTTTGCACCGTGACGCAACAAATAAGACTGGTAAGAACACACAAACAACGTACAATGAGCTGGACTAAAAGTATGGAGGGCTGAAAGTGAGATTGGACTGCCGTTGACTCAACGGAACTGGTCAGACAGCTCCAGAAGACCACAATGATTTTCCCTTTGAGAACGTCTTCGCTATCGTTCAGACCAGCTTTCTCAAGCCGTTCCACCGAACCGAGACATCCAACCTCGTAGAAGTGTGAACAACCTTCTGGACAACCTCACCCCAGGAGCTTAGGAACCACACTTCATAATGGGACTATGTAAGGAATTTTCTCGATATTCCTTAGCGCACCCTGCAACATCGCGTACAGCAGCAGCCGTTGTTCGCCCATAAATGTTTGATCATGCCTTCGCTCACATTTTGTACTCGTTTGACACCTTAGTGCAATTCTCGCTACTTCGATTGATTGCACCCGTAACACTTGGTATTCACGGCCTCTTTCCTTTTCGGACCGCGCATCTCCGCACCCCAGGTGTCAGAATGTTATCTTATGTTCTAGCCTGTAGTGGGGTGCTCTATAGCGAGTACAACCCTTCTAGGGTTTGCTATTTGTATCCTCATTCCTGCTAGTTCAACCCTCTTCTTTCTTTCTAATTTTGTCATGCTATCAGAGCAGGTCGATCCCCTTGGATCGATCCTGTGGGTGGGTTACCACCACCTCGTCGCTCGGCGCGTCGCCCTCGGGAGGCGCTGCGACGGGGACCCGCGCGCCGGCCCGTCGACGCCCGTGCGCCGCTGCCCCGGCTCGTCGACGCCCGTGCGCCGCTGCCCCGGCCCGTCACCGCCCGTGCGCCGCCCGTCCCGGCCCCGCGCAGCTGCTCCGGCCCGTCGCCGTCCGTGCGCCGCCAGCCCCGGCCCGTCGCCGCCCGTGCGCCGCTGTCCCGGCCCCACACCGCCCGTGCGCCGCCAGTCCCGGCCCCGGCCCCGCCTGCGGCCCCCCCCCCCCCCCCCCCCCCTTTTCTCGTCGCCCGTCGCGGCTCCCTCGGGGGCCTTACCTGGGGGAGGGGGGCGAGCGCCGCCCCCCTTTCTGCTGCCTGTCTTGGCGCCCTGGGCGGCCGCGCGCCGGTTCCCCCCACCCCCCCCCCCCCCCCCTCCCCCTCCCCCGTAACCTCCCTACCCGCCATCCCGCCCTGCCTGAGTTAGGGTTTGGGGAGTGGCGAGTAGGGGGTGGCGAGTATGGGGGTGGCGGGTGTGTGGTCTCCCCTGCTCCTCCTCCTCCTCTGTCTCCCAGTGCTGCAGCTGCCGCTGAGGGGGGTGGGTGTGTGGGAGTCGCTGGAGTCGTGCTAGGGGGTGGGGTGTGAGTGACCCTAGGGGTGCAGTAGGGGGTGTGTGCAAGGGGGGGTGAGACTGTTTGGGGAGCTGAATGAAGGATGCCGCTGTGTCGCTAGCTGCACTTGTAGTCCGGGGGCTTCGTCCGATAGCTCAGTCGTAGCCAGCTGTGCCAGCCGCCCGTGGGTCCGTTGCTCGTCTGCCGCTACTTTAGCCGCGGGGCCAGTTACCCCTGTAGTCCGGGGGCTTCCTCCGGTAGCCGCTGTGCCAGTCTGCCTCCTGTTGCCCGTGTGTCTGCAGCTTCATCCGTCGCCTCCTATCTCCTTTCCTCTCACTTTCGCCTCCTCCTCCTCACTTGCCCTCTGCGATAGCCTCTAGCTTTGCTCATAATTCTTAACTTTAAACTATTGCTTCTTGAACTTGTGCTCAGAATGTGTGGTGACATTGTGATCCACCTTGAGCTTGTACTGCTTTGCTTGCTCTGCTGATTACACCCCACTTTGGCTATGGGGGTGTGTCAGAATGTTCTCATCTAGCCTGTAGTGGGGTGCTCTATAGCGAGTACAACCCTATTAGGGTTTGCTATTTGTATCCCCATTCTTGCTAGTCAAACCCTCTTTCTTCCTTCTAATTTTGTCACCAGGAACTTTTGATTTTTCACTCGAAGGGACTCACGTACCTTAGCACCTAGGAGCCGCTGTCCTCGCGTTCTCTCGTAAACGCGTGCAGCCACGACTGCGCCTAGACTAAGACGAGCCGACGCCCTTTCGAAAGGGCTGAACATATCGACGTCACAACTCTCACGTAGGAGCAGTTGAACGATCTGCTGCGACAAATCCGCGAGAGCGCCGAGGAAATCGCGACGCTGACGGCAGAACGCTCGTCCCTGCAAAACAACCTCACACGAGCACAATCCCAAGCACCTGGCACTCTGATTCAGCCCGCACCACATGCATCACAGCACGGAAGTGTGGGGCAACCCGCGAGCGCCGCAAGTGATGGCGTCGTCCGCCATGACGGAGACGATGTCCACAGCACAACACACCCCGACGCGACGAATGCAGCCAGGAATCAGCCTCGAGTCACGATTTCAGTGCCGACCGGCGAATCAGCTCTTCCGTCGCCGATGCCGCTAATGCCGCAGCGTCCGCCATGCTTTGACCCAAGTCAGCGAGGTGGTCCTACCGTTCAGGCGTGGCTCTTCACGTTGAACGTTTTCTTCGACGCGAACTACGTCTCGGAGGATACGGCGAAGATTCGTTACGCCGTGTCGTTGCTGCGAGGACTCGCCATGGACTGGTGGCGCGTCATCGTCACGAAGCCCGCGGACTACGCGACTCTACCGACACGGGAAGGACAAACCGGACCCTGGGCGCCGTCGTATTTCGTGGAGGTGCCCCAGTATCGCACGTGGGACGCGTGGTGCGCAAGTCTGCGCGCTCGTTTCGAGCCAATTGCAGCTTCGATCGCGGCGCGACAGAGGCTCCGCACTTGGTGCCAACTCGGTTCCGTCCAAGACTACACGAGCAGGTTTCTGGCGCTATGCGAGCATGTGGGATATATGCATGAGAGCGAGCGCATCGACCGCTACATCCGCGGCTGTCACCGCATATGCACTTAATGCATATGCAATAACAGTAGAATGATGGTGGAGTGTGGGTTTCATCCTAAGTCCATAGGAAGATGAGATAGGAATAAGAACATAGGTAATAGGTGTAGGATGTAGTAAAGTTACTGTTAGGAGCGAGGGTGTAGAAGGGGGGAAACATGATAAGAGCGGTTGAGATAAAAGGGGGGAAAGAATCTGAAAGGCGGAATGTGAAACCAACGAACCCCAACCCCGAGCCGCACATTGTGGAAATGTGCAGCCAAGGGTGGGGTAAGGTCACTCACCTCCAACCCATCGATGCTTTCTCGCTAATATTCCCTTGCACTAGTGAAACTGATCGTCTCAGGCTCTAGCACACGACAGCACGACACTAATAGGGAACCTACGGGGTGAGAGATCAGCCTCTTTCATATTAGCGAGAAAGCGGACACGGGGGCTAGGACTGTAACTTCCTAGCGCGAACGAGATGGATCGATACGAGCTGCGCTGGGGTAGGGCGTATAGCCGACGGGAGGAGGAACGGGAGCGCCGAGAGCCGTCACGAGAGCGCGGGCGATCCATGGAGCGATCGCCGCGCCATCCCGCCTTCCGCGCCGATCGGGTCCCTGTCGTGAGGGACGGTCGAGTAGCTGATGCGCGAACGAATGACGAAGGACACGCCGAACGCGCGGATCGAGATGCGTGGCTCCAGGAGAGCGGACACGGACCTGGCGCGGAGGGCGGAAACCACCGCGGCGGAAGGGTGTTCCGCTCCCCGGAGGAGCGCAGACGACGTCGCGACGAGAGAGGGCGGTGGTTGGCGTTCGGCGAGCAGTCTCGCGGACAAGGAGGGAGCGGCGGCAGCGTCGCTCGCGGAGAGAACTCGCCGCACAATGCGGTTCGAGAAGAGACGCCAGAGCAGGGCGTGGATGACAAGGAAGAAGGATCGGAACGGTCAGACGAGGAGGCAGGGATAGAAGGGGCGAATGAGGCGCGAACAGGAGGAACGGGCGATGCTGAAACCGAGCCGGCGGAGGCGCAAGCGGAGACGAGCCCGGTGGCGGTCGCGGAATTAGAGGCTCCGCCACCGGGATCGCGCGGTCGAGACGATCCCTACGAGGAAGGGCGGCGCACGGAGAGCTCCGGACGGCAGGAGCTGGGCGGGCCAGAGATGAGCCATCGAGCGTGGCAGGCGCCAAATTCGCGCGGCAAGGGAAAGGAGGAGTGGTCCCGCTTGGCGGAGAGGGAGCGGCGCCTCGGGGGAGGGCGCGTGGGCGAGTTCCGCCCGCGCGGCGAGCGCCAGGAGCAGGGAGAGTGGAGCGGCGGCGCTTCGCATTCGGCAGGACGGCAGCAGCCGCGCGGGGAGAGGGGGCGAGAGACGGAAACAGCGCCGCCGAAGTGGCACGGTCAGCAGCAAGAGGGATGCAGCAGCACCATACGCTCGCCAGGCCGGACTAGGCAGAGGGAGCGGAGAGACAGCAGCTGGTCCCGCTCGCCGGACGGACAACACACGCGTAGGGAGAAGTACGCGGGGGAGCGGTCACCGTGGCGTCAGCCGCGCACTTGGAGTGAGCACCTGGACGCCCGGTCACCATCGCCAGAGAGGCAGCCGCGGCGTGAGATGAGCAGATGGGAGGAGCAGGAGGTGCACGGACCGCCGACGGTGCAGTGGGGACGGACAGAGGGGCGAGGAGAATCGAGGGAGAGGCGGTACGAGGCAGGCGGGAGCCGCCAAAAGAGAAGAACGGAAGGCGGAACTCTGGCGCGAGGAGCAGAGCGGGCGCGGGAAGCTAGAGAGGGCATGCAGAGAGCACGGGTGAGGGGAACAGAGAGGAGTCGGCAGGAAGGGGCCAGCGAGGCATGGGGAGAGGGGCGTGGGGGCAGCAACGGCGCCCCACGGGTGGAGGTGCCCGCCAGATTCTCAGGTGACCAGCGTGCAGGACCGACCCTCAAGAACTACCTCATGCAGGTGGGGAATGTGCGGTACCGCTGCGACCGGCACCACATGGATCCAGTAGACTTCTTTCTGAGCCTGCCGAACACGCTCGAGGGAGAGGCCGAGACGCTCTACCGTATGAGGATGGAGGAACTGCTGTGGAGGGTGGGGAGGTACGGCGAGGACCCCACCGAGGCATTCCTGGAGAGGCTGCAGCGGCAATTCCCAGGGCACACGGCCGAGCACATAAGGGAGTTCCAGGAATTCAGCAGGGGCAGGACTGAATCATTGCTGACCTATTACAACCGGCTGATAAATGTGGCGGAGGACGTGAGATGCACGGACAGCAGCCTTCTCGTCAGCAAGTACCTGGGGGGCTTGGACGAGGCCTTAGGAGGGGGGCTGAGGATGAGGGTGTATGAGCTCGGAGCGGATGCAAGCCTGGAGGAGGTGTTCACCTTGGCGGAGAGGGTGGAGCTCGCGCAAAGGAAATTCGAGGCATATCTCCCCAGGCCAGCAGAGAGGAGAAGGCGGCCAACGTGGGCGGCGGCCATAATACCGGGAGGAGGAGGGAGAACAGAGGGACGAGGGGAGACTAGGGCGGACACCAGGACATGCTACAGGTGTGGACAGCCGGGCCATCTGCGCAGGGACTGCAAAAACTGTGATGGGTGCGGGAAGCCGGGGCATAGGAAGCGGGAATGCCCGGATGCAGCCCAGTGTGAAATCTGCAAAAGGCAGGGACATGAGGCGAAGGATTGCTACCAGAGGGAAGGGGGGAGTGGGAGGCATTCAGAGGAGCTGCAGCGGCAGATTCACATGTTGCAGGCACAGCTGAGGGCAACAGGGCTGAAAGGGGAGGCGGAGGCAGGAATGTACGCGGGAGAAAGGGGGGGAGAGGAGGTGGAGCAGGACGTGCAGTGTGCTCTCATGGCATGGAGGGGGAGAGAGGAGATGGGGCTGAGAAGCGGGGGAAGAGATGGCAGGCGAGAGCAAGGAAGGAAGGAGCAGGTGAAGGGAGAAGGGCCATCCGAGCCGGCCCAAGAGCCAGCCCCCGCACGCCACCCCCAAGAGAGGCTGGCATGCCAGACCTCGGTGCTACTGCTTGAAAAGGGAGCCATGGAAGTGGAGGGAGTGAAAGTAACAACAGCCATCATAGATACGGGGGCACAGAGCGTGATGTTGGGCAAAGGGGTGGCTGAGAGGCTGGGACTGCTGGCTCCAGAAAGGCACGTGGCCAAGGGGATGTTGGTGATGACAGCGGAAGGGGGGGAGCCGAAATGGATGCCATGCACACGGACGCCCATAGAAGTGACGCTGCTACCGGGGGGGACACATGAAACCAAAATCCGCATGAAGTGTGGGATTTCCGAATCAGAGGACTTCGATGTGCTGGTGGGCACCGAGCTGGTGTATGCGGTAGGAATGACCATCTGCACTTGGATGGAGAGGGTGGAGTTTAGGACCAGATACTGGAAAAGGGAGGGGCCGCTAGGAGAACTGCCAGTGCGATTCGTGAAGGTGGAGCCGAAAAGAGCATACCAGGCCATGGGGGAGCGGCTGCCAGGAGAGCAGGGAGGGCTGCCGGGGAGGGGAGGAGCGCCTAGAATGAAGAGGATGGACAAGCCGCAGCAGCAGAGTGATTGGCAACAGCCCATCCACCTGGTGGAGTTATTTGGGGGGATAGGGGCAGGGCTGTCAGCAGTGGTGAGGAATGGGATAGCAGTGAAGAGATGGACATATGTAGAGAAGGAACCCAGGGTAAGGAGGATGGCAGAGCACCATGCCAAGAAGCTGCAAGCGGAATTCCCGGACCTGCTGAGTGAGGAGGTGATCAGCAAGGCGATGGGGGGGACGATTCACGATGTGAAAGACATAGGCGAGGCCGAAGTAGCGAGCTGGGGGCAGGTGGATCTGCTGGTGGCAGGGTGGGAATGCCAAGGGGTGTCGTGGGCAGGCAGGGGCAAGGGAGGAGAAGATCATAGGACGGGGCTGCTGGAGGATCTGTTTCGAATCATGGAGTGGTTGCAGGAGAGGCAGGGCAGGGTGGCATACTTGCTGGAGAACCTGGACCTAGAGGGGGATAGCAGAGAGCCAATCCGACTGGTGAGGGACAGGATCAGGGGACAACTGGGAGAAGGGGTGAGCTGTGATGCGGCCAGAATGGGGTCCTACGCGCACAGGCTCAGAATGTACTGGCAGAATGTGGTCCCTGCCGAGCAACTGCAGGCAGAGATGGAGGGGATAAGGCAAGCAGCAGAAAGGAAGCTAAAGGACATCCTGGAACCAGGGCGGACCCCAGCGCCAGTGTGTCACAAGAGCTACAGCAGGCACGAGCAGTGCAACCAAGTGGGGCAGGAGAGGAGGGCCCTGCCCACGCTGGTGGCGTATGTCGGGGCAGCAGGGTACAGGTGGGAAGCAGGGAAGCCGGGGCCAGGAATGGTGTATGACCACAAAAAGGGGAGATGGGAGGAGCCCACGGCACTGGAGCGGGAGCTGGCTATGGGATACGAGGAAGATGCAACAGCAGCGCATGGGGCAAGTGAAGCGGACAGGAGGAGGGCTCTGGGGAATGCAATGGATGGCCACGTGGTGAGGTGGCTGATTCAGCGGATGTGGCGGGAGACGGTCGTGAGCTGGGGGCAGGCGGAAGAGAGAGGAAGGATGGAGGCGGAGCCACGAGGTGCATGGAGCTGCCAGGAGAAGGAGGAGGGGAGCTGGGTGGTGGGGGAAGCGATGAGCAAGGCGGGAAAGGAGGCCATGCAGGAGCTTCTCGCCAGGCACAGGAAGTGCTTTGCCTTCACCATGCAGGAACTGGGAAGGTGCAAGGTGAAGGAGATGGAGCTGAAGCTGAGCAGCACAGAACCAGTGTTCCAGCGCAGGAGGAAGATGCCGCCTGGGGATGAGGAGATCTGCAAGGAAAAGATCAAGGAGCTGCTGGAAGCAGACTGATTAGGAGATCGGAGTCTGAGCATGCCACACCCACAGTGGTGGCAGCCAGGAGAGACCTGACAGGGGAGGTGCTGAGCAGGAGGATGTGTGGAGACTACAGGGCACTCAACAAAATCACCGTAGCAGACAGGTACCCGATGCCGATGGCAGAGGAAATCTTTGACAAACTGGCAGAGGGGGTGTTCTTCACTACGCTGGACCTGCGGCAGGGGTTCAACCAGATCAAAATCAGAGAGGAGGACGTTAGGAAGACGGCCTTTCATGGGCCGGACGGGCTGTATGAGTGGTTGTACATGCCGTTTGGACTGAGGAACGCATCAGCAGTATTCCAGAGGGTCATGGACAGCGTGCTGCGGGGAGTGGAGTGCGCAGCCTGCTACATTGATGATGTGGTGATCTTCAGCACCACAGAGCAGCAGCACCTGCAGGATGTTGAGCGGACCCTAGCGGCGGTTGAAGAGGCGGGACTCACCTGCCATCCGAAGAAGTGCAGATGGGGGGAACAGACAGTGCAGTACCTAGGGTATGAGGTGAAAGGGGGACAGATAGGGATCCAACAGGCCAAGGTGGAAGTCCTGGACAGACTGAGGGAGCCGAGGGACAAGTCAGGGCTGAGAGCAGTGCTGGGCTTCTTGAGCTACTACAGGCGGTTTGTGCCCAACTTCAGCAAGCGAGCAGCAGTGTTGAATGTGCTATTGCGGGAGGACCACGCGTGGGAGTGGGGGGAAGCACAGAAAGGGGCGCTGCAGGACCTGATGGCAGCAGTGAAGACCGCGACGGTGCTCAAGCTGCCCGCCGCTGATCAGCCGTTCACGCTCTACACCGATTGGAGCAGCCAAGGGATGGGAGGGATCCTCTACCAGGAGGTAGAAAGAGAGGAGAAGGTAGTGGCATATGCGAGCAGGAGCTGCAACTCGGCAGAGGCACAGTACAACTCCTACATCGGAGAAGGGTTGGCAGCCGTATGGGCAGTAGGGCATTTCAGGGTGTACCTGCAGGGGAGGGAATTCACCTTAGTAACTGACCACCAGCCCCTGACGTGGCTGATGTCAACCCCAGGACTGACGGGCAGGAATGCAAGATGGGCGATGAAGCTACAGGAGTATGACTTCAAGATCAGGCATAGGCCAGGAAAGACACTGCAACACGTAGATGGCCTCTCACGGAACCCCCCATCGCTTGAGCCCACCGTAACCTTGACACTGCTGGCCAGATTGGTGGAGCAGAACGGGGCCAAGGAGGGGAAGGGGCCAGCAGACATATGGGAGGACGGGCCGGCCCTGCGATGGGTAAAGGGAGAGACGGGAGAGGATGAAGCGCTACCGGCACGAGTAAGGGCAAGGGGCCAGCACTACCGGTGGTACCAGCAGCAGTTGCAGGTGCAGACAGAGGACGGATGGAAACTGGTGCCGGCTCCAAGTGAGAGGGGAGCGGTGATTAAGGAGGTCCACAACAAGCTAGGGCACTTTGGGCACGAAAGGACAGTGTAGCTGTTGAAGACAGGGTGGTGGTGGGAGGGGATGCGGAGGCAAGTAAAGGGGTGGGTGGAGGGCTGTGAGGCATGCCAAAGGAGCAGGGCAAACCTCACCCAAGCCAAGGCGGAGTTGCAGTCGCTACCCATCCGAGGCCTCGGCTTCCGATGGTCCTTAGACCTGGCGGGGGAGCTGCCACTGAGCCGTGGGGGGAAGCAGTACATAGTGCTCATGGTCGAACATGTGAGCAAGTGGCTGGAGGTAAGAGCGATCTCGAGAAAGAGCTCCAGACACGTGGCAGCAGCGTTCAAGGAACAAGTGTTGTGCAGGTTCGGGGCATGTGCAGAGGTCCTAACAGATCAAGGGACAGAGTTCCAAGGGGAGTTTAAGGGGCTGCTGGAGGAGACCGGGATCACCCACAGGCGCACTTCGCGGTACCACCCACAGAGCGATGGGCTGACTGAGCGACTGGTCCAGACCTTGAAGCGGGGACTGCGAGCGTACGGGGAAAAGAGGAAGCGGGACTGGGACGAGGAGCTGCATTGGATAGCAGCAGGGTACAGATTTGGGAAGCAGGCAGCGCTGAGAGATCACTCCCCTTATAGTCTCCTATATGGGTGTGAGCCGCTGCTGCCGGTGGGAGCAACCCGGGTCCTTACAGACACTGTGACTGCAGGGACGATAGAGAACTGGGTGGCGCTATCCGAGGCCAGGGCAAGATACCTACGAGTGATGATGCCAGCAGCATTGGAGAATCTCCACACCGCACAGCTGCGGGATGCTCGGAGATATGAGCAGAGGCAACAGCAAGGGGCGGGGGACAGACCCAGGAAGGGAGTGAGTCTGGGGCAGGAAGTGTACTTGAAGCGGGCAAAGCAAGACACGCTGGATGTTGGGGTGGGCACGGAGAGGTGGAGGGTGAAGGAGGTCCGTCCTTCAGGGGTGTTGGTTCTGGAAAATGACACAGGGGCACTCCTGAAGGAGCACCAGAGCAATACGACCATGGTGAGGGGGAGCAAGCCTCACCAAGCAGGTCCTGTGACTCGGGCTCAGGCAGCTAGAGCACGAGCACAGGAGGGGGCAGTGGGTAAGTGAGGCTGTGCAAAAAGGGAGGAGGAAACTGGAGAGTCGGCATGAGAAGAACAGGTGCAGGAAGAAGAGCAGGTGCATGGTAAGAGGAGGTGCATGAAGGAGAGCGGCGGCTGAGAGGAGGAAGGTTCGCCGACAGCTGTCACCGCATATGCACTTAATGCATATGCAATAACAGTAGAATGATGGTGGAGTGTGGGTTTCATCCTAAGTCCATAGGAAGATGAGATAGGAATAAGAACATAGGTAATAGGTGTAGGATGTAGTAAAGTTACTGTTACGAGCGAGGGTGTAGAAGGGGGGAAACAGGATAAGAGCGGTTGAGATAAAAAGGGGGAAAGAATCTGAAAGGCGAAATGTGAAACCAACGAACCCCAACCCCGAGCCGCACATTGTAGAAATGTGCAGCCAGGGGTGGGGTGAGGTCACTCACCTCCAACCCATCGATGCTTTCTCGCTAATATTGCCTTGCACTAGTGAAACTGATTGTCTCAGGCTCTAGCACACGACAGCACGACACTAATAGGGAACCTACGGGGTGAGAGATCAGCCTCTTTAAGTGAGGCTGTGCAAAAAGGGAGAAGGAGGAAACTGGAGAGTCGGCATGAGAAGAACAGGTGCAGGAAGAAGAGCAGGTGCATGGTAAGAGGAGGTGCATGAAGGAGAGCGGCGGCTGAGAGGAGGAAGGTTCGCCGACACGGCCTGAAGCAGGACATCGCTCAGGAAATCCAGCTTCGCGGCGTCACCGATTTTCAGGAGATTCTTGCCATGGCGGAGAAACTCGATTTCTTCCGCCGACCGAGACCAGGGTCCTACGGAAGCAGCAATTGGGGACATCGGCCTCGTGGGACGAACAAGGGCGCTACGATACGTGTTGTCGCCGCAAATGCCGCTCCCGCACCGTTCAAAGGGCGCTGCTTTGCGTGCAATCGGTCGGGGCACCGCAAGAACAAATGCGCGGAAAACGCTAAGGGAAAGGGGGAAGCTGAGCAGCAGAAACAGACCAAGCAGCAGGGAAATGTCAGAACATTATAGCTTATACTTTTGTGTAGGCTGTAGTGGGGTAGCCCATAAGGGGTACAACCCAATTAGGG